GTAACATGAAGAGGAACAAACTGAACAAAAACCTCATATTGAGCTCCAAATATGAGTAATTTTTCCTGAAGGAAAAATAATATCCAAAATAAAATATCCTTTCAAGTAAATATTCACTTCTCTGAATAATCCATGTTCCTTAGATATTCTAAGAAATTTGAATGCTACTGCCTACACCCGAACACCACCAGGCTTTAGGAGGAATAAACAGCATGTCCGAATTGTTTCTGCAATAGTTTTGCAAAAAACAAAAACACCCACCTGTAATTCAAGAGTCTTGGTATCATAGTGGGTTACAAGTTGGCTTGCTAACATAAGGTCAGCAGTTCGAGTCTACCAGTCACTCTGTGGGAGAAAGATGAAACTTTCTACTCCCAAAAAGATTTACAGCCTCAGAAACCCTATACAGTGTCACTATGAGTCAAAATGGGCTCATCAGCACACAACCATCACCACACTTTAATTCAAGGAAAGTTTCCAGTTGAAAACTACCACCTTTAAAGAAATGTGGCTAGATTCTTTGCCCAGCAATATCACTAGTGCCTTGTTAAAGGCATATATATATATATATATTAGTTATTGTTGTTGCTGTATGCCATTGAATCAGTTTCGTCTCATAGTTACCTTTTATATGGTTTCGAGAGCACTTGGTAGGTTTGAACCGCTGTTCTTGCTGTTAGCTATCCACTGCATATCCTAGTCAATATTCATTAAAAAAAAAAAAAAAAAAAAAAGCTTAGCTAGACGTTCAATCCAATATTGACTTCTAGAGCATGACCTTACAATTTTGGGTTCATTGTTGGTGGGTGCTTGGCAAGCCCTGTAGCGTCTCTGGGCTCCAGGTTTCTAGGGGTTGGACTATATTTATGCTGGTGATTCTCTATTTGTAAGGATTAGAAAATCTCCTTCCCCCTTCGTCCTATAGATAGTTTCATCTCCTGCCCACCAGGACTGACAGGGGACTGGCAGAAGAGACGAAAGACGAGCTACTGCTGACAGTATGATCTCAGTACATTTGAGGACTGGCACTTCCTAGGTAGATTATGGAGCAATGATGCCTACAAGCAGCGTATACTCAATATGGGTCAACTCCGGACTCTGCCATTTAATAACTGTGTGCAGTTTCCTTCCGCTAAATAGGACTAACAGATAACCTATCATTACTATTACTACTACCATGGTTTTTGGTTGGTCTTCATTTTCTAGAAATATGGTAGCAGCGGGGATATAGAATGTAAATACCAATTTGGCAGTTCTGGCATTCACTAAATTCAAAACTGATCATGAATTAGGGGGCAGACAAAGATGAGGACCTACTGTTACCCTCTCTTGGTCTGTATTTTTCTATGATTTTTCTGATTTGTTTGTGTGCTTTTAGGAGAAGTGAGAAAAGTAAGCGCTAAAGAGAATATAGCTGTAATCATTCTGCCAGGTGCAAATGACTGGTTCTTCATTCAGGATTTTGACCCCTGGGGATGTACAGAATAGCTGAACTTGGCTACACAGCAAATTGCAAGCACCCAGGGTAAGATGAAGGAGCCTGGTAGTACAGTGTGTTACACATTGGGCTGAAAACCACAAGGTCAGCATTTCATATCTACTAGCTGCTTCATGGGCGAAAGATGAGGCTTTCTGCTCCTGTAAAGATTTACAGTCTCAGAGACCCTATACAGGTGTGTTATGGGTCGGAACCAACTCCATGGCACACAACAAACCACCATCAGGGTATCGTTAGCAGGTATAAAGAAACAGAGTAAGGGGATTGCAGAGTTTTGTAATGAGAGTCAACCTTTTTTTCCTCAGGAATGGGAGGTAAGGGTTTGGCCCAAGAAAGGAACACATCTTGTGAGACCAATACTCAGAGAGGAACCATTTTGTCAAAAATGCAAACTTCTATACTATGTGAATACTCTAACAGTCCATCCTAACATTTTTTTTTTAAATTAAAACAGAAAAGCCATCCAGGTATATGAAAAATATTTGCCAAATAATTGTAATTCCTGTGACTGATATTCTATATTTTTTCAGTTAATTACTACTGATGAGAATATGGACTAAAGCTTAGAGATTTACAAAACTTGAGAAAAAAATTCATCCTAATTCATATTTGGCTTCCTACCTGCTGCTAACTTCAAAGTTGGCAATTCGAAACTACCAGCTGTTCTGTGGGAGACGTTCTGTTCCCTTAAAGATTTACAGCCTCGGAAACCCTGTGCAGCCTCACTATGAGTCAAACCGACTCCACGGTACTTAACAACAACAACAACATTCAATAAGTATTTATAATTTATGCATTATTATCTTTAAATATTACCAAACATATTAATAAAGAAACAAACATGAATATTACAATACAAAATAATGTTACTTTATGTGAAATGTACTGGAATTTCAAATTTTGATGAACAAAAAATCTTCTTTGCCAGAAAATGAAATGGTAAATGGAATCACTGCATATGTAATGTAATGAGAAAAACAAGAAGAGGAAATTGATTGCTGAAGTGTTTAGATCTTGGCTTTTTAAGCATAGTTTGGGCTGGATCGCATGCAGCAGGTACAACTTAATTGCTGTTGTAATTCATGAAAAAGAGAAGAAAAGACATCACTTTATGGTTGTATTAAAAAGTGATCATTCACATAATAAAGCAAAGACCTGCAAAACCCAGATGACAAATCAAGACCAGTGAAAAATGTAACTATATGGGATTGGTCCTCAAAAGGACCCTTTGTAGTAAGTTACTGAAACTAAATGCCATATCTCTCCTAGAACCACTGGTTGTATATATGAGAATAAAAGTCAGAGAGTAGCTTTCCACAAATGATCCTCAGTACAAAAAAAATGCAAGAAGAAAATGAAAAAAACTTCCCACAAGAACCCACGTGTGTTCCCAAACAATGACTTAGCAGAAGTGTCTTTGCAACAAAAGAGAAAGCATCTGCAGCATGTTTGACCTTCAGGAAGTTGCCTAATGACAGGACAGAAATCATTAATGGTGACTAAGTAACTATCTTCATTTCTTTATGCATTCAGAGACTGATTTCTGTAAGGAGCAGAGCTCACCAGGAACACACCTAGATTTAATAAAGAACATATCTGTGGAAAGTTTCCTTAAAAAAAAAAATCGTACTTTCTCTCCCATCACAGCCTAATGCAACTGCAATGAATGGCACGGTTGCTAAAGAATTCATCAAACCCTATGTCAGATCTAATCTTGGCAAAATCAATGTCTTGTCAGGTTTATTGACATAGCACCCCTAAGCACATTAGGACATTTAAAATAAAACACAGCAGTGAAAAGAGAGGGACAGAAAAGAGAGAGTTTTCTTTAATATAATACGACGGATGAAATCTGATAAACCCAAAGATATTAAAAGTCATTGATATGATAATACAAGAAGTGTTTAGCTCACTCTTTTTGGATAGCTTTACTTGCTTAAAAACAAACAAAACACATAAAGCTATGGCAACTGCACTTGGATTATTTTAATAAAAGGAATGTACCTATATATGTACATTCTCTACCATGAATACTGCCCTGTACTAAAACTGCTTTTCCAGAGGCATAGGTATAAGCCTGCAGTAGCAGATCATTTATACCTGATTTCTGTAACAAATGACAAGATGTCTCAATTTGCCTCAATTTGAAGTGATACATTGTAGTCCCCAAAACACAGAACTCCTTCAGGAGTTCCTGATTGTGGCTGGATTTGTAATCTGTCAATCAAGGGCAACCCCTATGTATTCCCTAGTTGCATTCAAGGGAGCAATCTCCACACTCTATCTGCTAAATGGGAATTATCTTCTCATCCGTCCACATGTAAAGTTATAGACACAGTGAGACAGAAAGAAAATGAAAGTTTTGAAGCATACCGGCAGAAACGTTTAAGTCCCATTCATCTACATGGAAAATGTCCTAATAACATCATGAGTACTGAAATATCAGGTGGGCATGTTCTTTATAACTTTAAGGACTGATTTGAAAGAAATTGGTGCTGCTAGAGTAGTTTAAAGCAGTAATGAAGTGGCCCATTTTGCCCACTATAGAGAAAAGAGAAAGAAAGGAAAATGCTTTTACCCAGCCCGTTCTGAACTGGCTCCGTTGTGCATTGACTAGAGAGGATGGAGAAAATGAATAGCAGCTCTGTTGAACCAGGGCAACTTAATATTACCAAAGGGCCCAAGGAAGGCTCTAAAAAACAGTGGTCACCAAAATTCACAATTCTGGTTTACAATGAATCTTAATAAGGTATATTCATTTCTGAGAACACTAAAGACTACACACCATTCAGAAATCCTAACTTTATTGCTATCAATAGTAATTCAGCTTTGAAAATTCTGTTTACATTTGAATATTTTTCTGAGGTGCTGGTGAGAAAATTCAGCGCCGACATTTTCCAATTAATTACTTTCACTCATCATTTCTCATGCAAAATGTTCATTTAACAAACAGAAGATAGAAATGAAGCAAACTACTTAGAATCGGGAAGCCAAAAGAGGGCTTATGCACAAGGCATTAAAACTGAAACTTTATTACTAGAAAGAGGTCTTTAAAAATAACAGAAGTCCATGTCATTGGCACTTAAAGATAAACCTGTACCTTTAAAATTAAAGGCATATGTAAAATACTCTTCAGTGACATTTTTAAAAAGAAACCTCCCTTATGATACCCGAAGACAGCCATGGCATGGCAACTATTGAATTACCATCACTGTAATAATGAACACCTGAGCCACATCTTTTAGACTAAACTGCATAGGTAAAACACAGATGCAAAACACCTCTTCGTTAGGTCAGGTTTTCCTTATGATATTACTGTGAAAATTACATACTTGTGAAGAAAGCTTAAGATTTAAAAAAAAAAAAAATAGTAGCCAGACTTACAAATGTTTAAGAGAGAAGAAAAAAGCTCCCACTTTAAACAAAAGAAGAAAAGGATTTCAGATATCAAGATTCTTAAAGAAAAGCATACATATAACCACATGGAAACAGCTTCACTTACCATCAAATTTCTTGTGCCTGGACACAAAAGTGGTACGCACAAAATGACTGGTCTCCTCCACAAGGTTTTCAAACTCAAGTTTGCTTTGCTGGCTCAACTTGTCTTCCATTTCTGTGGTACAGCATGTATATTCCTGAGGACAGATTCTTAAATGTTCCCCTGCAACAAGAAATTACAGGTCAGTATGGTGTGGTGCTGTGGGATAAAGCACTAGACTGCAAGGTCGATCTGAACCACCGGGTTGACGGTTCAAACTCACCATACGTTCCTTGGAAACCCTACACAGGGTAGCTATGAGTTGGAACCAAATAGATGGCACTTAACAACAGCATCAACAGCAGCATGGAGCAATATGGAATGGAGTCCAGCACCCAGAACTATAACAATGGTGGAAGGTTTGGCAACGTTCTTACGTTGTTTGAGGAGGCTTCAAAAAGTGTCGACAACATTCTAATCTAATAATTCCATTTTTTCCATGACCATTTTGGAGAACAGCCTACATGGGGTTGTCATGACTAGTGGCAATCTGAGGAGTGTTGCTGTAGGATAAGCACAGAATTGGTGGTTCTCCCTGGAGAAAGATGAGGCTGCCTGCTCCAATAAAGGTTTAGTCTCGGAAACCCGAGATAGAAGCACTATGAGTCCGAGCCAACACCATGGTATTGGGTTTTGGTTTGGGGTAACAACAATGACATGGAATGAGAAGGTGTTTTGAAAAAAGTAGGGTATTAATGTTGGGTATAACATTTCCCTAAAATCCTGGAGTACTATTCCATCTCCCCCCTCCAGCCATTGTCATGAGCTGACACTCAGCAAGTAGGCATGCTTAACATTCCAAACAACTAACTGATTTAGGTTTAACCTGATATTTAGTCCCTGTTCCCTGTCATGTAATTGAAGGTCTATTATACACCTCAGAAGACCATAACCTTTCTCCTGCTTTTTTTTTTTTTAAAGTACCAAGTAACACCAAGTGACAAGAGATGTGGTCCAGTTTTAAGTCTGCTTGTCTTTAAAAAATTTCAAGTAAGGCTAAAGATATTTAGTTCCATTGCTGCAGTCTGTTAGACAGCCAGGGCAAGGAAGGATGGTAATAGTTCCCTGTGTTCTCTTGCTGCCTGCCTGTCTGCTGGAATGCATCAGACTTTCAGTCAAAGTGAGTGTGTTTTTAATGGCAGGTCTTGGGTGGGGTGGCACGCATTCTCCCAATTGACATTTCTTGTCAGAAAGAAAAGGTCCTCCCAGACAAGGAAGTCACTGATGGGTTTAATTAACGCTTATGCTATAATGGAAATATAAAGTAAAAGGTAATAAAGTCTTGTATTTAATTCAACAGATTTCTCTCTTGATATACTGGGCGACTTCGTCTGACAATATTGCTTTCTTCAGTGCTCTTTGCAAGGGGAAGCCAATCCTTTACTTCATGAAATTAAAATGGTCTGTTATTGCATAAAATGTGAATTTAGAATTGATGCAGCTCAGTTACTGTCAAAAAATGTTTAGCAGAGCTTGTGGAGGGAAGAAGGAAATGTCTTGCTAAATAAAACCAACAAGTTTCCCCTGTGATTAAAGTCATTGTCGGGCACTGAAAATGAATAAAGTACTTGCTGCTGTCTTTCAAACTCATTTGGAATGTCTGACAGTACTTCGCAAAGTCGAGTGTCCCATAGACACTAGATGACGCATGAGATGTTTTGATTCCTCACATATATTGATGTCTGAATTCTAGCTCTGATTTAAACACAACTCCAGAATCATAATTGTGTTCTAGACTTTTAAAAATAAAAGACCATAAATACATAATTAAGTTGTTCTTGATCAACAAGTCAATATCTTATTTAATTTCTAGAAGGAAAGGAAAACCAAACAAAAACGTCTTAAAAAAGAAGATAAGAAGTAGGAGAGATTGGAATTTGAGAGAAAAAAACAAAACAAAAAAATGTCTTTTTATATATACATTGTTTTTTGGATAAAAAAACGGATGAGGGTGTTTATTAAATTTGAACTTCCCTTTTTTCAGAAGGTTTTATGTATCTTATAATAAAACCTTAGACATGTTATCATTAAAAACAGTAACCATTATGGTTGTGTTGGAGAACAGATTAAGGACAGAGAGGGAGAGTGACACTGATTGGGAAAAACAAAACAGCATTTGACGTTCAGAAGCTGACCGGCCATTCACAGGCAGCTCATACTATTCTCCCATTAGACATAAACAATCTCACACAAAAAGCCACCTCAGACAAAAGACCATGATAACATGAGACAGAACAAGGACACTTTATAATTTTGTCTAAGCACAGACAAAAATAAGTTCACCATGCAACCCACAAAATACCAAACATCTCTTCTCTTGGCTATTTCTTTACCATCTATTGATTTATCCTCAAACTAGTCTTCCTCCTTGTAGACAAAATGCATTGAGATCGTCAATCATGGAATCACCACTCCCTTCTGGCCACAACCTTCAATTCAGACCACACTGCTTCTAGGAACCCTCTTCCAGATCCTTCAGCCCACATCCTACAATGTTTTTGTTGTGGCTAAGTGCCATAGAGTCAGTTTTGATTAATAGTAAACCTATATAGGGTTTCTCAAGAAGGGCTGGTGGGTTTGAACTGCCTACCTTGTAGTTAGCAATCCAGTGCTTATACTATAGCATCACATTAAGTCTTCAATCCTATAATCAGTTGTCATTATTAACTATTACTTATTACCTTATTACTGATACACTCCATGGTTCTCCATAGTGTGTTCTCACTTGTTTCAATAAACAAAAATGCAACTTGTCCGATGACAGGTATGTTATTGGTGGTCTTTGGCTTCAGGGCTTTAATAATACAATACGGGGAGGTTCAGAAGTTAAGGAATTTTGAAAATATTTCCAAGGAAATCTGCATTGCTTATCCCATTGAGAATTATGATTTTAAGAGCTTAAGATACTAGAAATGAATCAGTATGACTTTGTCAAAAGTAAATGGTCAGCAAATCACTCATTTTCTTATATAAAATACCAAGTCTAATAAGAACAACAAAAAGCAACCAAAATCTCCATTTCTAAAGACTCATATTATTACTCATTTTCTCAATAACAAGAGATTACAAAGAAGATTCTGATCATGATCTCAATTTATTTTTATATCCCTAAGTATTGGGGGCGGGATGGAGTCACAATTTTTGTGAATGGTGATTTCAGGTCAGTGCATAGAGTAGCAATATCCCCTTAAGAAATATCCTTTAATTCATTAACAGAGTACTACGAAGTGGGTTTTGTAAATATCACCAAGTAGCTGAGCAAATAACCCGAGAAGCTGAGCTAGATGAAGTTGAACATGCTATCAGCATTGGAGAAAGACTCATTAACAACCAACAATATGTAGATGACACAACCTTGCTTACTGAAAGCAAAGAAAACCTGAAGCATTTACTGATGTGATCAAAGATGGTAGCTTTTAATATAGATTAAACCTCAATGTAAAGAAAACAAAAATCCTCACAATGGAACCAGTAAGCAACATCCTTATAAATGAAGAAAAGATTGAAGTCAAGAATTTAATTTAATTTGGATCCACAATCAACTCCCATGGAAGCAGAAGTCAGAAAACAAAAGGCCAAATTACACTGAGCAAATCTGCTGCAAAAGATCTCTTGAAAGTGTTAAAAAGCAAAGATGGCGCTTTGAAGATTAACATGAGCCACTCCCAAACCATGGATTTTCATTGTCTTATAAGCATGCAAATAAGTCTCGGTGTGGTGTGGTGCTGTGGGTTAATGCACCAGACTGCAAAGCCATTTGAACTGCAAGGTTGGCGATTCAAGCTCACCAGTTGCTCCTTGGAAAGCCCTATACAGGGTCGCTATGGGTCAGAACCAACTCGATGGCACTTAACAACAACAACAACATATGCATGCAAAAGATAGACAATGAATAAGGAAGACCAGAAAAAATAATTGATGTCTTTGAATTACGATGCTGGAAAAGAATATTAAATATATCATGAACTGCCAGAAGAACAAACGAATAAATGTGTATTGGAAGATGCCTAGCCAGAAAGCTCCTTAGAAATGAGAATGGCGAGACTTTGTAGTACATACTTGGGACATGTTCTCAGGAGAGACCAGTCCCTGGAGAAGAACTGGATGAAGTCAGTGAAAAAGAAGACCTTTAATATGATGGACGGACAGTGGCTGAAACATTAGCCTCAAACACAGGAATGGTTGTGAGAATGGCACAATGCCAGGAAGTGCTTTGTTCTCTACTACATAGGTTCGCTGTGAATTGGAAATGACTCAATGGCACCTAACAATAATAACAAATTATTTTATCAATTAATGCCTTAATTTCTTTCTAAGGAATGCAGAGAAGGACGTCACCATTCCTTTGTCTGGGCACAGGAACAATGCTTTCCAATTTTTTTTTTCAAGGGGAAATGTTAATGGTCAGGAAAAACTCAGAATCATTCAGTCACCTTCAGAAAGTATAACAGTGAAATCTTTTTCTAGTTCAGTTGCATCCACATCCCCGCTGTGGGAATCAACGTCATTGATTTAAATGATCTCCCTTTCTTGACTTGCTTGCTCCATGATTGTGGATGGTAGTTGCTCCATTTTTCTAAGTTTCTCCTAGCTGCAGTTCTATATGGAGTCCTGGTGTGGCTACTGCAGTATAAACACTCCAACTCAACGTTAGTTTGAACCACAAGGTGGTGGATCAAACTCACTAGCCACTCCTCGGAAACCCTATATAGGGTCTCTATAAGTTGGAACCGACTCGACAGCACTTAACAACAACAGAATCCTATATAAAAGAAATGAGTGAACTTCTTAAAAAAACACTTTGAATTCTAGGAAAAATCTAAGGCTGAATTGAATGAGTAAGTATCTTACCACATATAACTTCTGACACTATACCTCTACACATACACATATCAATTCACACCTAAAATAATTTTCAGTTTAAAATTTCATCAATAAAAGTAATTCTCCTCTTTGTTTTCATTTAACATTTGACATAAAATTCTAATTTTATTGGAGTAAACTAGAGATTCGAATGCTTCCCATCTACTCTAATTTCATGAATGTTGATCCATGGAAATGCAGCAAAAGGGTATATATAGCCAAGTGCTTGGAAAATGTTCACTGATGTCGTTATTTTAATT